TCGATTTAGATACTGGTTTAGTCGGTAAAGGTTTCTGTGGAACGTCAGTTCCCAATTCTTTGATTAGTCTTTGTAACGTAGGAGAATAGTCTTTTGAAACTTGCTTCTTCACTTTCTTACTGAATAGTTTACTGGTGGGTTCACCAACACACTTTTTCTGAAACGTATCTTGAAATATTGGAAAATTACCACCAAATAATGCTGGAGATATATTCATTGGATCAGTAACATATAGACTTTCAGGTGTGCTCTCGACCATAGTTTTTATCTCCTTCATGCAATCAGATCTTGGACATATTGAATGTTTTTTGATGGAATTTTCGATACAATCGCGATGATATATATGATCGCAGATGAGTATGGTAATCGGGTTTTTTATTTCATACAAAAAAAGTTCTTGGTTGCATAACAAGCATGGGTCTAGCTCCGAAACATTGACACCTTCTGCGATCTTTTCTGGGAATGAATTTTGCAGGATATTTAATGCAAGGGATTCGAGAGATGAGATATTAGCAGACATAGCGAGGTGTATAACCGGATAAGTTTCCATATACTTAACTCATTTTTTATATACCACACTCCTCGCGACTAACAAAACCAATTTCAGATATTATGAAAGCCAATTTCGGATTTGGCTCGGAACCGCTCAATATTTACAGGAAATCGTAGATGGTTTCAGCCTTTTTTCTCATATATTCGAAAAAAGATTATATAGCTATCCTGCATATATATCACAATCATCTGGCTTCGAGCAAAAATTGTGAGAAGACGGGGCAAAGATTGGCATTAATTTCACAATAGCTTAGTCTCTTATGATAATTCCTGATTTGCATATCTCGTAATGATGAAACACCCCACATAAAATCAATTATCGGAAAAAGAATGACCGAAATAAAATCACATGCCTGGAAAATCGATTGCGTAACGCAGATGTTCGATCACCAACTTTTGCTTTTGTTGTTACTATGTCTTCAAAAAGCCAGAAACAAAAAAGCGCCAAAGTGAAAAGTTCTCCAAAAGAGACTGCACAAAAAACGAAAAAAAACGAAAAAACGTCGAAACTGAAGTTGCGAGCTCTTCTGCCACCCATCAGCCTAAGCGCCCTGCCAGAGAAGACTCAGTGCTTGCAGGAGCTACGAGTAATCTTAGGCTCAGTTCCAGTTCCACTTCCCGTTCAAGCTATGGCTTAAAGGATCTCCCTTCTTCGGCATCTAAATTTGCGTTTGAAGATATGGAGGCACTAAAAGCAACCTTCAAATCGGCTTCCAACGAGAACGAAGTCATACCTGATGTTGAAGGTAAGAATTACATTGTGTTAACAATTTTAGCGAACCTATTGCTTATAATTTAAATAATGTCTAGTCACGGACATCCCTAGTAGTTATTTTTTCCCCAATATCTCTAGTGATATGCTTCGGAATCCTGATTTCGATGTCGAGATTGTTAACATTCCGGATATATATGTTAAGACATTCATTAACAACCTGCACAGAGTCGTCGTGAATGCAGGCGTCGATATAGGCACGGAGGAATCCAAGACTGACACGTTAGTAAACCATCTGTTAAATCACATTGTTAAATTCGGTGGTTGGCCCTTGGGTATTAGGTGAGTAATAGTAAAAAATGTCTGTTATATATCTAACGATTTCTTAAGTTTGTATCATGTCTAAACCTAGAATCAAAGAATGCTACAGGCTATTCGTTAATGATAAGAGAATATCTGCAAGACCTGAATTTGTCGTGGATAAGAAAGAAGTTAATATGATAGTCGTAGAGGTCTGTATGTTTTTGATTGTTTGACAAGTCCACATTTTTGATGACTCAAAACCTTTTTCTTAACAGGATAAGCATTTGAAAAACGTTTCTCCACCTGATTTTGGGGAAGCGCAAATGCTTGCCGAGATACTTGCCTGCGGAGATGAAAATGCGCGTCTCTCTCGTACAATTACGGATTAGACTATATTCGCTGTTCGTGTCATCTCTTCGTATTTTACATTTTACAAGGCTGAGATTCCTGTGGCATATTGGAACGAACTTAAGAAGGGCCTACCACGACAGCAGACGATTACGATTTTAAGGTGGCCGGAGGGGGGGAATGATCCAAAGGCTGGTCTAGATTTGGCAAAACCTGCCGGAAGACGATCAGTGTTGAGAGCATTAGCTAAAATTCGTGAATCACTTTTACAGTAAGAGGAAGAAAGATGAAGAGGATGAGGAAGGGAGAGACAAACAGCTATCGTAATAATGTGATGAGTTATTTAGTCGTGCTGGAGAGCAGTTTATAACGTGTCCCAATTTAATATAATAAAGAATTGCTAGATTTCAACGTCGAATTGCATTTTAACCAATAATTGATTATATGTCGAAATCGTAGTTAAAGCAATTTAAATTACTGGTGATCACAAACCTAAAATTCACAGGTAATACACATCATATATCATGGAAGATCATGGAACTTTTCATGCATGATGTAGAGCAAAGAGTAATAATTGTGCGACCGCTGATTGTTGGGGTACCCATTCCACGAGCTATGTCATTTCTCCGAAATATTTCTATATTGATCTCTGATTCGCGGATTTAGGCTCGAAGAAGAGACAGAGTCTCGAATCTCCGATTCACCATTTCTTTGAAATAAAACACATGACATCGCTTAATTATATTTTTAGCCGAAAACCATATTTACTCAATTATTACATAACATGTCGAACTCTAGTAATACCTATAAATTTCTGAATTGGATATTTATTATTATTAAAAAAAAAGATTATTATAGGAAATGTTGTCTTTGTATTGGTTCTCATTGAGTGGGCTAGACTCGATGATTCCGATTGCATTCAAGACAGACAAGACGTGCATTTCCTTCAATGTAACCTAATTTGTTATCAATTCGATAGTTATTGCAGAGCAGGCCGTTAGGCGCAAATATAATGTCGAGCCAAAAGCGTACGATGTCAGATGACATGAAATGGTTTAAGGCGACTTAAGTCGCCGAGGCTCGTAAAACGATTTAGTTGGGTGTTTATTCTTCCGGAATTTCACAATCTCCAAATAAATATGTCGTTTCCATATCTTGTGCTATCCACAATTTTCAAATGGATTAACACTTCTCTTTGTTTGCTTTATTCTATACATTCGATGTCTGTAACTTCGGAGGAATTGAGCGGTTCGTGGTTGATCCTCTTTTCCTTCTAAAACACAGTCCTCGAATATTTTATGTGTAAGATCTTTCTTGATGAGAGACTTTTTAAGACCTTTAGCCTTGATCATATTTTTTCGTGAATTTTCACACACAACACTATAGCATTTTGCACGAACTCCTGCATAGCCAATAGCTCTATCTCCTCCATTTTCATCCTTCCACTTGCCTATAACTTTAGTGTTTTTTAATACACGCTTACCTTCTTCATTAATTATCCATTGATCTTCTGGAAGATTCTTTACTACCCAATGGTCTTCAGGGTAATCGCTAAAATCGAATAAATCACAATCATCGATCATGTCCTGATAAATATTTTCGGTTTCAATTTCTATTATTAAAGAATCTGTATCTGTATATAAAAGCCTTACCCGATCTCCATATTTCTTTTTGAGATATCCGTACCAGAAATCATACATATAATATTTAGAGAGATCGAGAATGCATGCTCCTACATATTCAGGTTTATTAAGTTTTACATTAGTTTGCCTTCGATGTACAGCTACTAAATTTGCACCATAGAAAATTTTCCGACTAACAAATGCTGGATCTGAAATTAATCTACGTAATTGTCATTCTTCTCCTACCTGTCTCACTAAATCTATATTTACACGTTTTCTCACATCCTCCATAGTTTTCCCAAATACTGAATTGTTCATTAATTTCCAGAAATCTTTTTCGAATGCATTCTTTGCTTTGGCTCGTCGCTGTGTATTCATTGCAATGTATGGTTCCATCCATGGTGATTGATCAAATCCTAGAACCCGATATACTTTTTCGAGAACATATCCTTCTCTTATACATTGTTGTAAATTCCTGTAATGAATAACATAATGGTCTTTATCATGGAGAGTTAGAATAAGTTTTTCTGTATCTGAACGTTGTTTACCTGCCCATTCTTTTTGTTTTGAACTATACCAATCATATGGTACATTCTTTCGTTCTGGACACATTGGATAATCACGAAATTTTGGGTGCAACTCTTTAGGAATTGTTAACTTAACCTCTAAGCAACATCCCCGATTTGATTTTTCTTTTATCGTTAAAATTTTCTGCACTAAAGGTGAAGATGGCTCGACAGGTATTGATGTTAACCATTTAAATCCACCGGTTGGAAGATATTGAGACATTGCCCAACCATATAGATTATTAGCATCTAGATACAAAAGCCATTTTTTTGCTTTTTTTCCGTCATATCCCTCTAATCCAGGAATATTTGCTCTGGCTATGCGTCGTCTTGCTAAAGACATTCCTCCTCTCTTCATTGCTATAAAGAAATCATGCATATCCCCTTGATGCTCATTAAAAAGTTCTAATTTTATCTTTGTTACCTTCATACATGCATCCCATGCCAGACCTGGTGCAGTTAAATAATTTGCTGGATTTAACTTGAATGCTGAATAAGATGCTTTTCTAAATGCCTCAAATGCATCTGCTAAAATTAGTACATCAGTCTTTAGATAGATATTATGATAATCGCCAAACGTTTTACATCCTGTTTTTCGCCAAACCGTCCAGGCAAAGTCATAATCCTTTTGAGATATAGTATAAATTTTCTCATGTTCACATTCTTTGTTTTCACACCCAAGCTCGCAATAATTATAACCATCTAAATCGCTATTAAACTCCTTACGTGAAGGTAGTTGTGTCTCATTAAATTTCATTTTGCTATTTAACCATTGATACGGAAATATTCCTTTATGTATAAGCAATGATAGTAAATAAGGTGAGATGAATTTCGACATAATTGAAAAACATTTTGCTAGTTGTTCTGGTGTTTTAGTTTGATCCTTCTTTTCATCACGTAAGTTTTCTGTCATCTTAGCTAAACCAGGTAATGAAAATTTTAAACTATCAATAAATTGAAGCTGGCCAACTGAAAAGGTAATATATTGCTCAGAATTATTTGCTATAGGCACTATTTTTTCATCCGTCACTTTTGCTATTTCTTGCATTAGATGATGAAAATCGTAGCCACTTCCATTACAGAATAATACCAGAATTTTTATTATTTCTTGATCAATTCGTAATTTTAAATTACATCCACTATGAGCTGGCCCCCGAAATTTTCCAATAATATGGTCATGATCTATTACTCTATTTTTTTCCTCGTCTGGTAAATGTGTATTGCAATATATACATACCTTACAAGATTTATGTTTTTCTTTTTGCTCACCATCTAACTTACCTTGAATCATTGGCTTTTTTCCATGGCATTTTCTATGTGAAGCACCTAAATATTTTTTGGTTTCTGGATCGAATACCCGAATTTTATTGTATCCTGATACGTGTAATTTCTCTTCACATATTCAGCACTTACTTGCCATTTGATACTGCCTCCATAATTTTGGTGTCATTTTTTCGCATGAAAGTGGATCACAGAGCTTATCTAAAATAACATCTAGATCTTCTTGAAGGTTTTCCATTAAGTCTTTTATTATATTTTCTGATTCATGATTGATTACTGGTTTTGCGTTGTTCCATCTGAACAATGTATTGTATATCCATATGAAATTGCTTTTTGCTCTGCTAATTTTATAGTATTTTCTTCATTATCTTTTTTCTCTACTTCGATTTCTTCTGCTTCAAGATCCATAGTAATTAAATAAGGTTTCTTTAGCATGTTTTTGAAATACTTGGGTTTCACATAGTTTTTACCTTCTTCAGGAAGGATTAATCATTGTGGTGCTTTACTTGGTCCTGGACATGTTGGTATATGCTTTTCTAATAAATCTAATCTGCTGTATGGGAATCGTAAGCATTTTCAGCAAAAGTATTTTTTTCCATGATGGTTATTCCACTTATGCATTAATCGAGTAAAATCTGTTATAAATACGTAATGCGTTTTTAATCCTTCTGGTATATCATTTGTATTTTTTCGGTCATTTAAATTCTCTTCACCTTCTGTTAAATATAATAAATCTATCATATGCTCTACTTGATAATTTCTTTCAGAGATATGTAATGGATCTATATCTACTTTTATTTTTCTGAACACTTCTTTATACACCGGTCTAAATATATTTATAGCATAATTAGGATTGTTTTCTTCGAATTTATCTATATCATGGAGTGTTGCCGGAAATTTTATACCTTCAAAATTTGCTATATTTCCATTTCGTCTAAGTCTTCGGATTTCATTAAGATGAGGAGGTTTTTTATTTGCTTTTAATGCTTCCTCTCTTGTATGATATGCACTAATACACCACTTAAAACACTCATTATCATCATTATTTTGCGGATTAATTAATCCTAGTTGAGGTTTATCCAAAGCTTCTGATAAAGGTAAATAGTTACTACCACATAGTGGCCTGAATGCGCTTATCTCGAGAGATACCTCTTCTGCTTGAACAAATAACCAACCTGATTCTTGTATTGCTTCATCCTCAATCTGATCTATAATTTCATTATATCCTTTTTCTATAACAGTTCCAATTCGATCTTTTCTTATAATTTCTATAGTTTCATGCTTGAACGGAAAAGTTTTATATTTAGGTTCTTGGGTTTCTGGTTTTATTTTCTTCATTTTTGCATTTAACATAATTCTTACCTTTAATCCACTCTTTAAACCCAATTCTCTTTTATATACATCAGCAATTTTTTCTTCGATTGATTCAAAGAAACCTAAAGGCTCATTTTCAGCATAGTATTCTTTTGGTACAAATGCATAATAATCACATACCTCACCTTCATTAAATTTTTCAGTTTCTGTTATTCTATTAATATAAGGATCATTATTTTTTTCAAAATAGACGTTAGATTCTTCATCAGCTGTGTCATATTCTGAAGAAGCAGAGCTTCGATGTTCCACATTATTACTTGTTTTTGATAGCCTTTTAATTAATTCATCTATCGTTAAATCAATTAAAAGGTCGAGTGCCGGTGCGCTTGCCTCTCTCGGCTGGGTTGGTTGGTGCGTCGGTGGATTTTCGTCAAATGATATAAGATCGCCTTCAGAAATCGGTACTGGTGATGTATTTTGTGCTGGAATTGGTGCAGGATTTTGATTGGCTGGAGTTTGAGAAAGATTCTTAGGTCAGCAAGGATTTTTTCGATTTAAATGCTGTTGATATTTCTGATAAGTGGAAAGATTTAGACCACATCTATCACAAGTAGTATTTTTAACCATTGTGTATAAAAAGTATTATATATTACTTTATAAAATCTTTACTTTAATTGATTATTTATCCTAATCAAATATGATCGGTGAATATACCTGCCAATATATACGTAATTCTGGTAAAATTTGTAATACTTTATGTACATGTCCTGAGGGATGCCATCTTCACTATAAGGCAAAAAAACGTGTACTTTGTATTGATTGTGGAAAACCAACTGCTTCTGCTTGTGGGCGATGTAAAATTCATAAAAGAGGATATTATGTTGCATCCTATTATCAAAAACTTTGTGAAAAAGCTTTAGAGCAGAACTTATGCCAAAACAGAGTCATTCTTCCAGAATAGGCATAGAAAAATATACATCAGAAATGTGATTAAGCCCTAGAGCGGAGCTCATGCCAAGGCTTAGAATTTTTAGTTAAATTGGTGTACCTAAAAAGCTATTGACTGTGTACCTATAATTTTTTATATGAGTATTATTAAAAATAAGTAAATGATAACTAAATAGATAACTATGCTCTGCTACGCTATGCAACCAGAGTCACTATGCTCCTCTGGAACAGAAAACGTTTTAGTAATCAAATAAGGAAACTATGCTCCGCTACGCATGATATATCATGACCCACCAGACCAAATTTCACCAAAATTCAGCCACTACTCCACCAAATCTCAGTAAATATGTGGCTTTATTTTTATCCAATTTGATTAAGTGAGTGATAAGATATTAATTCATTTTTAAAA